TGAGATTTATTAATCAGTCTCAATTATATGTAATTGTCTGCGGCCACAAGCCATTTAAAATAGCTATTTTTTTTTTTTTAAAGAAGAAATTTTTAAAATTCAGCCATTTATAAAGTTATGGGTTTCTAAAGGATTAATGAATTTTTGTTTATTAATCTGACAGATTCTATTATTTAAATGTTATTTTTAGTAGATACCCATCTTTGAGTAGACTCTCCATTTTGCTTATTAAAGAGTATAAATATTTTCAGATAGTGTATCTGTAGAGGAACAAATGAATAAAAAGAGACGAGAAGAAAAGATCTTTTGAAAATGTACAGCACATACATTCATCACATACCATAACAAACTAATCAATATTCATTTGAAAAAAAAAAAAGATTTGAATACTTACTTTTTGCCAAATTTTGAATTATGACACTTTGTAACCTCAACCTGTTTTAACTGACCTTTCAACCACCTGATGAATATTCACGAACATTTTCGAATTTAAAAATCTTGACATTCTTGCTTTTGTATATAAACACATGCAAAAAAGTAAATGTTATATTGCTTTGATAAAGTCCCTCAGAGGATTAATTTTGTCAGTTAAGAATAGTTTTTCCTGTTGTCTCTTAAGAAGTATAGTCCTTTTTTTTCTTTTCTTTTCTTTTCTTTTTTTTGTCTACCAGCCTGAATATTTGAGAAATGTTATTAAAAAAAAGTGCTCTTCAGCAGGATTTGAACCTGTATCCCCCTTGGCAGGAGGAACTCTTGTTAGATCTCATATGTCTTGGCCACAAAGTGTTGAGGATCAAGCAAAGTTGAATAGTGCCTTTAAGCGTCAATTTCTTAAGGAATCTCCAATCTTCTTCATGTGATGTCATATAAACTTGTAGAATAATACACAAACTTCTCCAGTTGACCATATTAAAAAATAATAATAATAATAATAAAATGAAAATATGTTCAGAAAATAATCTTTCCTTAGAGGAAAATCTGGAAAACTATTGGTAATTTGCATGTATACTCAGATAAATTCAAACTATTATTTAAATGTAGTTTTACAAGCTTGAGAATAAACCAAAAGACCATACAATGATATGATTAACAATAAGCATCCACTATTATACAGTGATGAGATTCAACCATGCTCCTCAGCTGGCTCCTGTCTTCTCTGAACTTTATAACAAATGCCTTGGTGCTTCTTGCTTGAATTTGAAGTCCTCCTCTGTAGATGCCTGTTTTTGTAAGAACTTTGGAGAACCCTCTGACCTCTCAAATTATTGCTCTATTAGTCTCTTCCTTCTTTTTTGCAAAGTAGTCAAAGCTCTAATCAACATAAGATTGGTTAAGCATCTTACATCACATGGCCTCCTTTCAGACAAACAATATGACTTTTGTTTTGCTAGGTCTATGCCAACATGTTAATAGCCATCATTGAATTTGTCTATCTAGTTTTAAATAAGAATGGTTAAACTTGAACTGTGGCTTTAGATATCTCAAAGGCAATCAACAAGGTTTGGCATGCCGGCCTTCTCTGCAAGCTCAAGGGCTACAATGTCACAGTCAAATATTTGGCTTACTCCAATCATTCCTTATAAATCATGTAATTAATGAAGGTTGTGTAGAATGAGCATGCTTCCAGATCATTTCATACAAATGTAGTGGTTTCCCAAGGCTCTATTTTTGGACCTATGCTGTTTCTGATCTTCAATGACCTCCAATTGTCATCAGTTCCTAACTAGGTATTTACACTGATGAGACAAGTATTTACTCCTGTCCTAGTAGAAAGTCTGGCAGATCTGTCAAAGTAAACATGGCACCTGTTCTCAAAAAGAACTTTCAATCAATGGTTAATTGGGGCAAGAAATGACTTGTGAATTTGAATGCCTCTGAAACAAAACTGAAAAGAAATCAGAGAGAACCTTTTCTATCTGCCATCAGAATAGCTGATGCTAAACTCCAGGAGTAGAACACTCTGTCTTCTTGAATTCACATTTTCCCCTGACATAAAATGGAGCAAGTATAATGAATCAACTGCTAGGTCTACTTGCTAGAAAAGTTGGTTCACTGTGTTGTGCCAGAATCCATCTGGCACATTTATAAATATATTATTCATCTGTACATTGAGTACTGCTGCCATATCTGGTCTGATGTGTATCTAATTAAGATTCTTGACAAAATTCAAAGAATGTTCTGTAACGTAATCAATCCAGACCTGGCATCTCGACTTCAGTTACTTTCTTGCACTTTTCACTTTTTCACCTTTTGATTTTTTGCTTCTCTGACATTTACAATCATCAAATATTTAAATACAACATCAATTGCCATCTTCTTTCTTACTAAACCTGGTTTTTTTTTTTTTTATTGTTCTTTCCTCACTTCACATTAAAGACTTCTCATTCTCTTCCATTCCCTGTAACCCTCTGTCTCCCTGCTCTGATATAGAACCATTTATTTATTTAAAAAAAAGTAGTAGATAATTGGATGAATACTACGCCCACAGAATCTATCAGATGCAATGCAATAAAAGCAAGGATAAGGATATTAGTCTAAATAACCATAGAAAATTAATCAGTTTCATCATATACTTCTCTAAAAATCTACCATATATACTCGAGTATAGTATAGTGTGAGTTTTTATGATCAGTTTTTTGTGCAAAAAATGTGAAGTCGGGGTTTACACTCTACACAGTTCTTTTTTATTTTTTTTTCTCTTTAAAGTTAAAAAAAAAATCATGCATTTTCAGTGACTGGTTGCACTATACACAGGTAAATTTTTTTTTCTAGAGGGGATATAATTCAGGAGTCGTACTATATGTGAAGTTGGCTTTTACATGAGTATATATGGTAGTTTACTATGAGTTTCTCTCAATGATTCAGAATCAATCAGTTTATATATCTTATTAAAGCTATTTGTTAATTACAAAAAATAGTTGTGCTTATTAAGTATGCTAGTTATGTGATATTAATTGATGTGAAAATGGTTAATAAAGTTAAAGCTAATTGGTGAAATCAAACAATGATTTTATAGTGTTCATGTGACCATTCAAGAAATGACAATGAAATGACTTCATTCTTTATATTATTCCTTTATGTGCTTCAGGACATGTGGCCAACTGGTTAGAATGTTCGCTTTCCAACCATGAGACCGAGGTTTGAATTTCATGATGTTCATATTGAAGGTGACTTCTGGATTTTATCAGCCTGTAGAGGTGATCCCAGCGTGCGTCACTTTTGGAAAGTTCTTGAAAATTAGGCCATGGGTTGTGAGGGAAATTGGGTAGATGGAACTGTTTGAGAGCTGTCAATGATTGAAGTTGCAAGTTGTCTTTGCCTAGGGTTTGAGCTTACTGGCCTTGTTAAGACTGTTGATCATGCCACATAACACACTCTTTCCCAGAAACTATGACTAAGATCCACTTAGCATAGTTGCAGCATAAACCACAGATGGGATCTGTGGGTGTTAAGCACAAATGTACCTGAGCAGGCATTAGCAACAGTGATTGGCTAGATGGACAGGCATACTTGGATACGATCAACCAGCCATTACATGCTTCATTGAACTTGCCATTTACTCTGTGAAAGGACTGGAGAAAAATATCACCTATTTTGCAAGCTCTGAATCATTTTACTAAAAAAATTTTTTTTTTTTTTTTTTTTTTTGATGAAAATTGTAAACTTGATTTATACTACAATCATTTTTGAACATCTAATTGAGAAATATTTTATATTTCTAGTGAAATTTATCTTAAAAATGACTTTTTTAATGTTAATTAACAGTTAATATGATTGTGACATTATAGCGGAGAATGGGTTATTCTGGTCACTATATACTGTGTGTTTTCCTGTGGTAACCTCAGGGTCAAGAATCTTTAGTCATGGTACTAGATGTGATATAAGATCTGAAAAAGTATCAAACTCAGGGTTGAAACATCACAAAATTGAATTAGCCCTGTGTCTGACAAAAGCTGACAGATTCCTGAGATTGATTAAATAATGACAAAATAGACCACAATATCTTTATACATGATTTATTTTTACTGTTGGTTATCTTGGTTTTTCAACATACTTGTCTTAATTAATTCTAATGTTTGAGAGCAGTGTGTACAGTCTGAAATATTGAATTGCTTATTTACATTTGTGATGATGATGATAAAACAATGTCTGCTCTTTCTCCTCCTTTAAAAATTAGAATTAAAATATTTTAAAAATAAATATTTTATTCTTTGTTTCACAGTTAACTTTAAAAATAGTCTAATTTTACTCAAATTAGTGGAAGCTGCAAGTGGCTTAACAGTTATCAGTTTGGAAAATAAAATCTGTGAACTGTTCAAATTTCAGCTGAGAAAGTTTGTTTTTTACTTTGCATGATACCTCTATATTCTTTTTATTATTATTTTTTATTATAAATCAATTCACCCCAAGCAAGGCTATAATGCCACTAAAACACAAGGGGCTACAGAGAATGAAAGAATGAAAAGACTTTAGAAGGAACTAGAAACTAAATCCTAAACAGGAAACAAGGACTTTTTCTACAAATATTTTCACGGCAGTTCTAATGAACTTTCCACTTTGGTACCTTGACTTCATGAATTTAAGCAGATTGACAGCTTGGTCTCGTAAATTCTATCCTAATAGTTTCTTTCACACTTCTTGCCTGTGGATCTCTCTTCTGGCTCCTTGTTTTCATGTCAACTATAATCAACAAAAATTTAAATGCATTGTCAATCATCATCTTCTGTCTCTTGAATCCTGTTCATTTTATTATCCTTTTTCCTCAATAAAATTTTCTCAGTTTCTTTCCATCTCAGTAACACTTTGTGTCTTAGTGACTTTATCGTTTTGGTGTTTGCTAAAGAACATATTGTATTAATAGGTTACATTAGAGAAATTTTAAAATGTTTCAATAATAAAAAAAAAGTAGCTACTATATTTTGTCAAAAGTTTCTTTGCTTTTCTAAATATAACATTACAAGTATTTGCTAACAATCTCTAAAAAATTTTTTTCTCTGCAGAAATTATGTGACATGGTGTGTGAACTTTTACTAGAGGAATCTAATGTTCAACCAGTATCTACTCCAGTTATTGTATGTGGGGATATCCATGGACAGGTAAATTGATTTTAATGTTCTGTCTTTTGACTTTCTATAATGATAAATTCTACTTGATTTTCTAAAAGAATCATCATTTATATGTCATGATATGACAAATTTCTTTTTCTAAAACTGAAAAATTTTAACTGCAAAGATAAATTCAGCCACATTAATTTATGAAAGCAAAAAAAATGCAGACATGTTAAAAGGCCATTCATAGCAAAAAGTCATTATGCACATTTTTTTGTCCTTGATTTGAACTCTGATTGGAAAGAACTGAAAACTGATTTTAATTATATTTTGGCATTACTAATTTATGTAAGCTTAAGGAATCGGCACATACGCTAGGCCACAAAAATCTCCTGAGCCAACCAAGCATAGAAATGAATACAATATGGGAACCAGTAATAAGGGGTGCCTGAGAAAAGCGATAATAACAATGAAAATTGCAATATGAGCTCTGGTAAAAACATGAATGATAACAGCAAAAATTGCAATACGAGCACTGGCAAAAAAATAATGCTGAATACATTAGGTTTATAATACTCGGAAATTCATACACACATGTTAATACCTCATCTCAGAAATATAGACAGATACTAATTTATGATAACAGATATTTTTTGTTACCTCTATTTTTGTTGTAAACAACCTTTTAAAGCAGGAGTTGTGTCCCCTGCTTTGTTAGGTAAAGGAAAGGAAGGCAGTTTGTGCATGAAAATACAAAGTCTCTCTTTGACTGCCAACTGTTGGGCCAGAAAGACATGGTTTCTTAAATGAACTCGCAAGAAAGATGTCTCGTTATACAGATAAGCCTAAAACTATTTCTTTCTTTGCATTAATACATACAGATCAAGATTTTATATATATATATATTTATTTATTTGTGTATTTAAGCAGCAATCCTTCTTTCATGGACATTTCATAAACGATAAATTATATAAAAACTGTCCAAATGTTCTTTTTATCCGAGTTTGGCTATACATTTAGCCATTTTTTCAAGGATTAAATATTTTAACTGTTAAATAAGAAATAGTTTGTTGCATGTATATATATTTATATGTGTGTATAATGTGTATGTTCTGTGAATAATATGAATCAATTATGTAAGCAATTGTTTGTTTAATCAAAAGTCAATCATTTAATAATTACGTTGTATCTTGTTGTATCTTATTGCATGCACACAAAAAACTGTTTGTAAATTATTTCATGTTTTCATGTAATCTTGCACGTGAATATTAGTTTAATACGTTGCAGATGGATGATATAATCCCAGATAAAAATGACAACCAAGAACACACCCTTATATTATTCATGCCCCACAACAAGCTTAAAATAATTATTATTATTTTACCTTGTTTAAATCTTTTAATAATATTTATTTTTTTGTGAGAACATTATTGAGGAAATGAAGAAATATACCATATATTTCTGCATATAAGGCATATATTAGATAAGACAAGGTAAAAAAATATAGCAAATTTTCATGAATTTATCCTATACCTGTAGTATAAGACAACTGCTTATTGATTATATAAAGATGTTATTGGAAATATCCTTAGAAATTCAAAATAAATAAAATAACAAAACTGATTCTATATCATGTTTATTCGACACACATCTCATGATCTCTTGCGAATACTGATTCTTCTTCTATTCCTACATCTAAACAGTGACAAACGACCTGGTGTACTAATGGCCATTTACTTATACTTCAACAATCACAAAATACCACTAATATGAATCTTTTTTTATTGGTTATTGCACTGAGGCTGAGACCAGCCAACCAACAAACATTACTCAGAATTTAAGGTTTCTATTTTAGAATTGTAGTATAAAACAACCCTCAATTTTTAAGGGTGATATATTGAGGGGGGGCGTATTTAAAGGTTGTCTTATATGCAGAATATAAGATAAGCAAAGAATCAAAATAGAACAAAAGTTTTTGTGAATCACTTGAAGCATTTTTTGTATTTCATGGCATTTAATTGTTGATATAATTACATCATTAGAGAATACTGTTTGAGTAATTGATTTGTTTTAACTTTTAGTTTTATGACCTCATGGCCCTGTTCCGTACAGGTGGGGAGATGCCAGATAAACACTATGTATTTATGGTAAGTAAAATCTTTTTTTCTTTCAATTCAATAAATTACTTCTATATGTCTCATCCCTTCAGGAGATGGGCATTCATGGTTCTCCAAAATGTCTTATCCATTGTGCCATTAGCAATTTTTTTCCAGTTTGCTAAATTCCCCCATTTTGCAAAGCTATTCCCACATGATCATCATCTAATGGCTTGCTGTCTCCCTGAATCTCTCTTGCCCTCAATATGCCCTGTGAGGATTAAGTTTTCCAAGTCATCCTTCCTCATGTGTCCAAGAGATTTCAACTGTTTCTCCTTGATTCTGAGTAGATGTTCTTTTTGTTGCCATTTTCTTTGAGATATCTTTGTTGCTTACTCACGTCATCAATGGAATTCTCAGTATCCTTCTGTAGAACCATATTTCTGTTAAGTCCATTTTTCTTTTCTTCTGTGGGGAGATTGTCTCACATCTACTACCATTTAAGAGGATTTAATCCGTTTTTCATATTTTTAAATTTTAGCATTCTTTTATGATTATTCTCAAGTAAGAATGAAATACATTGGCAGCTTCTTCAAGCAATGACAAACTGACTGATTTCTACAGTTATTTAGAAATTAACTTTAAATCTTGGATAGCAATCCAGCACTCTTCTATTTTTTTTTTGTTTTCTTTCTCCTTTTTTTTTGTTTTCTTTCTCCTTTTTTTTTTTTTTCTTTCTCCTTTTTTTTTTTTTCTTTCTCCTTTTTTTTTCTTTTCTTTCTCCTTTTTTTTTTTTTTTTCTTTCTCCTTTTTTTTTGTTTTCTTTCTCCTTTTTTTTTTTTTTTCTTTCTCCTTTTTTTTTTGTTTTCTTTCTCCTTTTTTTTTGTTTTCTTTCTCCTTTTTTTTTTTGTTTTCTTTCTCCTTTTTTTTGTTTTCTTTCTCCTTTTTTTTTTTTCTTTCTCCTTTTTTTTTTTCTCCTTTTTTTTTTTTTTCTTTCTTTTTTTTTTTTTTCTTTCTCCTTTTTTTTGTTTTCTTTCTCCTTTTTTTTTTTTCTTTCTCCTTTTTTTGTTTTCTTTCTCCTTTTTTTTTTTTTTCTTTCTCCTTTTTTTTTGTTTTCTTTCTCCTTTTTTTTTTGTTTTCTTTCTCCTTTTTTTTTTGTTTTCTTTCTCCTTTTTTTTTTTCTTTCTTTTTTTTTTTGTTTCTTTCTCCTTTTTTTTGTTTTCTTTCTCCTTTTTTTTTTTTTTCTTTTTTTTTTTTCTTTCTTTTTTTTTTTTTTCTCCTTTTTTTTGTTTCCTTCTCCTTTTTTTTTTTTTTTTTTCTCCTTTTTTTTTTTTCTTTCTCCTTTTTTTTTTTTTTCTTTCTCATTCTTTTTTTTTGTTTTCTTTCTCATTCTTTTTTTTTCTCTCTTTTTCTCATTCTTTTTTCTCTCTTTTTCTCATTCTTTTTTCTCTCTTTTTCTCATTCTTTTTTCTCTCTTTTTCTCATTCTTTTTTCTCTCTTTTTCTCAGCACTTTGATTTTGGAATGCATTTTTCATTAATATTTATTTGGAGCCATAAATGAAATTGAAACAATAAGCTACATGGAATTTGTACTTTTGAAAAATTTTTTTTTTTTTTAAACAACAACAGAACCTTTCCTTTAATCGGTTTCTTTTTCTTTTTAGGGAGATTTTGTAGATCGAGGTTATTATAGTCTGGAAACGTTCACATTGTTATTAACCTTGAAGGCCAAGTAAGTATTTTTTGAGTTTTTAATCCCACCCTTTTGTTCAATTTATTTACTTTTTTAAATGCTATATCTTTTTGGGATGTAGACAAATCAATTCTGACTCTCCACAGATCCTTTCTCTTTATTATCTGCAAATTGCCATGAATGGGGGGAAAAATAGTACATTGGTTTCTTGCTACCATCACCATGGTTTTGAATTCAGAACTGTTTTTCTCCTAGACTAGCTGCCATTCAAGAACCTAGATTATCTGATCGATTAACCTATAGTTCGAAGAAGAGGCGTATTCATGTTTTTTTCCTTTGTGTAAAAGTCAACACAATGGGCTAAGCAAGGATTTAAACCTGCCTCATCAATTCCATGTTTTGGGCTAATGACTTCTGAATGGCCATCACATCCCACTGTCCAATTCCATTTTCATATTTTTAAACTTTAGCAATTCAATCTCTACAATTATTCTCAAGTGAAAATGAAGTACATTGGCAGTTTCTTGAGGCAATGACAAAACGACAAACTTTTTTACTGATTTCTACAGTTATCTAGAAATTAATGTCTTTTTTTAAATTTTTTTTTTTCCTTAATCATTTCACCCCCAAGCAAGGCCACTAAGTCATATGGGGGGGGGGTTACTTAGTGTGAAAGAATATATGAAAATGGTGAAACACTATGAAGAAGCAAGAACAATGAAAGAACCGGAATTAAAAAGACATTGGATAATGATTGAGATTGTGTTTAAATTTTTGAAGATTAAACTTGACTGTAAAGCAAGAGGCTTGAAGAGAGTTCCACAATTGTAAAGTGTGAGAGAAAAAAAACTGTTAGCATAGAATTTATGGTTTCATTTATCCATTTCAACTGAAAAATGATGAGGACTTACTGCCAATCAAGTACTGCGCTTAAATTCATAATTATTGTTTTACTAGTAAATCTCAGATAGTAAGATGGCAACATTAACAGAAATATGACTTCTATAGATTTGTGAAGATGCATTATTGATTATTTTACATTTCAAGTTTAAAGAGTATTAAATGATCAGGAGGCATGGTGGAATAATAGATAGTGGCTCAGATTGTGGAATCAGAGCTGAGTTTGAATTCCAGTCAAATCCATTACATTCACTTACGTGCTAATACCCTTGGGAAAGGTATGAATTTCTCTTCTCCTCCCAGCTATGGATAAAATAGCAGGACAGACCAGGTTCTATAGCCTTGGAAATGGCAAACTACTGTATGAAAAAAATCTGCCTCATCAGTCATGTATTGAAAGATACATGATTGCCTAACTGTGTATCACGCATGGCACATAACTGACTGAAATGATCAGAGGAACAGGAGCATGATACTTTTTGATGAATGTTTTAATGTTTGACACTGAATCATCAGAAGTCTTTATTAGTTCTAATCAACATCATTATATTACCAGGTATTGCCAACTAAAATTTAGGTTTTATTAGTAACAAAATATCTAAAAGCTTTTAATACAGACTTAGAGAACTTGACAAAATATAAAAATTGAAAGTAATAAAATATGTTTATTGGAAATGATGAAATAGATTTTCTAGACATTTGGAATGATCCTCCTGCAATTCCTTTTCTAATGGTGATTTGCAGTCTGAATTTGCTTATAAGCCTCAGCTATGGCCAATATTCCTGGAACACTCTATATCTTAAGATCTCTTGTAAGTGGTAGTATATCAAAGTCCCATCTAAAGATAACTGGTGACTTTAATTGTGCAATATCATCCAACAAAGGTTATCAAAAATAATCATTTCTGCCTTTGGTTAAAACTAAACATTTCACTACAGCACTGGAGAAAGATGTAATTGTAAAGACAAAAGTATGCAGGTGTAGGCTTTAAGAAAGCTTTATTCAACTGAGAATACAAGGTTTGCATATAGTGTCCTTTTATAGTCCCAGTAAACAGAAATAGCTCTATCAAAGAGGAGAGTAATTAAACAAGGGGAAACCATTCTTGATTATTCATAACAGTAATATCAATGATTTGGTGAATGTAAAAGTTGGAATAATAGTATACGGCCTTGGTGTTTGTAACTGAAGGTCACTTGATGTAGTAGTTCTTCATCACATATGCTAGAGTTGTTTGAATACACTGATTCACCAAGTGCCTTTTCTTCCTTCCTTTGTTCAATTAAAAGTGGAGATGAAGTTCCATTAAAAGTTGCATGACTAATGTTTATTCCCCTCATCACACAGTTTTTAATTTTATCAGAATACATTTCAAAGAACTTGGGGTCTTCTTTGGCCTGCTTTTCCCACTTAGAAAATAATTACTTCTTCGGACATGGAGTTCATCATCTGCTGAACAGAAGATTAAATGTAAATTTTATTAAACATCTGCGTAAGACTCCTTGGCATGGAAAGCACTTATAAAAAAAAAAAAGAAAAGAAAGAAAATGAATAGATACACCCTTAAGAAAAAGGTGTTATGCTTACTATCTTCTATAACGACTTAAAGAAAAAAAATTATGAAAAGATAACACTGTAAAAGCTGGAAGAACTATCACATATTCATATTTATTTTTTTAAGAAAATGTAACAATTTTAATATCTGAAATAGGATCCAATCCCTGGAATTATTAAATAAATAAGCATTAAAATCAAAAAGAAAACTGATCACATTTTGAAAATTACCTAATTCTATTTAAATTTTTCATGAGCCCATGCACCAAAGTTAAAACATATATTCAGTTCATATTTTATTTTATTTTTTATAAAATTTATCCAGTTTCATGTTTTTAAAAGAAAATATAAATAAATTTTTAATTTAATCCTCAATTCTTGAGTATTAGATAAAATATTGATCCCAGCCATGAATGTAAATGAAATAAATGACCATATGACAAACTGGAGGCTTTTTATTAAATTATTTTAATTTCTTATGGACAAATACAAGAATGCAAAATATACCCAGATTATTTATTTTATAATATGAATTCTGTTTAATTTTTTTTATTGATTTTTTTTTTTTTTTATTATATTTTTTTATTTTTAAGAAAATGCATAAAACAACCATGGTAAAAGTTATTAGTTTTGCGAAAATACAATGAATAAGTTTGAAAATGCATCATTAAATAAAATATTAGAAAAAGATTTAAACTCTAATATGCATTGATCAAACAAATCTGATTTAAAATGGGATTCAACTGACTATATTCATTCACTCAGTGAATCAAAATGTGTACAAAATGAATGCAGATATTCTTTTGTTTTTATTTGTGTGTGTGCCTCAAGTTGTTTGGGCACAGATATGAAACCGACTGATTATTAAAGACATCACATCCAAGGTGTAATTTCTCATCCACTAAAGTTTTCAGCTTCAGAACCCATCTCAAGCCCACCAAACTGATGACCATTTTTTTTTTTTTTTTTTTTTTTTTTAAAGATGGGATGATTTTGATATGTGTAAGGAGACACAACTCTGAGTGCAGCAAGTTTGAAAAACAGCGCTATGAAATTGGCAGCCTTGAAAATGGGGAAAAAAGGCACCCATCATTGAAATAGTAACATAATTTAAAGAGTCGAGGAATAAAAAATAAAAAATAATTGTCACACATGAGAAGGAATAGTATCTTTTTATCAAGAGAAAAGGGTAAATTTTGTTTGAACACTAATTTTATCAAAATAGTGAAATTCCCTTCCATTTCAACTGCTAATATTCCATTTATTTTTTTTAAGCTACTTTGATAAAATTAGTATGCAAACAAAATCTAACCTTTTCTTTTTATGAAGATACAATTTTGATATGTCATCACAGTATAAACTAGAGAGGTTTGGAATATCTAATATTACCAATAAAGTAAATAATATTTGACTTATTGCACATTTTGTAACCTATTACTGAGAGATAATTTTCAAACTATTGACTTTACCAATAGTTGCACTAGGTTTAATTTTTTAAATTTAGCTTTAAATATCGCTTTTATCATTGAATTATAATACCTGGTTAAAATGTAACATTTATATTACAAAATTACTAGGGTTTTATCTATAATACATATATAAGCAGCTGATTAGACTGCATTACTTTTATATAAACGTGATGAAAAAGAAAATTGATCCCTATTTTACAGGTGGCCAGACAAAATAGTTTTACTTAGAGGCAACCATGAAAGTCGACAAATCACACAGATTTATGGGTTTTATGGTAAGTGAATTTGTTCGTTAAAAATATAACATATAATCTGGAAATAAGAATATAAATGAGAAATTTCAACTTCTGAAAACTTATAATATGTACTCTGATTGAAACAGATTTTTGTGTTCAACTATGTTGATTCTAATTATAGTGTTTTATAACTGACCAGTGTCTTATCTCTAATTTGAGTTAGATGCTGTAAATAAATATCACATGACTGTAAATATATATAGTTGTGTATATTTTTAAAAAATTTTGTGCTTACTAAGTAAAGATAATAGAAAATATGTCACTAATTCACCCTAAGGTTTAGAAAAAATGTCAGTTACTTATTTATTAAATATATACATTTGTTCTCTGTTGTTAATTGAAATTGTACAACATGATAATAATTATGGTGTAATAGGTTCAATTTTGATTATGATCAAAATTATTGGTTAAATGCGTTTTTGCAATAATCACTACAAATTAATTTTTGAGTAAGATTGTGAAATTTAGTTTTAATATAGCAAATGAATGTCAAATGGAGGAAATATGGAATAAAGAAAGGAAAGACTTCTCTGTTAACCATTATTCATTTTTGACAGGTATTTTTTGATTTTATTATTAGTTGAAGCCTTGTCAATTCCTAT